CTGTCCAGACACATGCATGATACATGCCCGGATGTGCTTACTACGCCCCCCGATTCTCGATTGATTTTGTAATTTGGCAACGAGCTCTCCAAAAAATCTGTTGATTTTTATAAATCCTCTATTGATTTTTTTTTTGAAACCTTGGAAAACCTAGCTCAAAATCCTATTGATTTTATGTTTTTTTCCTGGATTTCTTGTTCAAAACCGAATGTTGTTAAAATCAATCGAACGCTTGATTTTTTTCAATATCCGATCCACGCTTGAAAAAAATCAACTGCGGTTGATTTTTTGCAATCTCGGGGCGTGTGGGTATCCAGCGCAAAGCTTCACCTGCCGTTCCGGCGTCCAGAATCCGCAGATGACACAGCGTTCTTGCAGTAGTGCCGCAGATTCTGGAGTCGCAGTGGCTCCTAGCCCCGAGCGTGGGGAGCCCTGGATCTGTTTCTTGAGCAGTTGCAGCTGCTGCAACGCTGGCCCTGCTGCTGGGGCTCATCAGCATCCGTGAACTCCCTGAGTCTATCCGGATACGGAGACGCCCCCGAGAGCAAGTGACCCCTGAGGCCCTTCCACTGCTTGAATTCGCGGCCACACGCCGAGCAGAGACCGGCTTGCCTTCTACTGCGTGCAACTCTTTTCGGAACGGTGGGATGAAGCGATGGAGAGTGCTCCTGTGCATTTTAGCCACATGCATGCGCAGGCCATGTTCAGAGGCGAAAGTCGCCTCTTACGGTGCTGGCAGCCATGTCTTTCGTGGTACGCTTCCGGCACTGCCTCCGTGTCCGGTTTGTCTCCAGCTGTCTGTGTCTTATTAGCTGCCCTGGTCCTGAGTTTGCGCAGGCGACCGCGCATTCGCTCCTTAAGGATCTGCACGGAGTCCTTGACGTGATGCAGGGCGAAAAGGTCGACTGTCGGGAGTCGGGATAGTGAGCCGGCTGACTCAATACTGAGCGTAGCTTATGCGCGTACCATCCTCGTAGATGTCGGGCTGATTCGTGCGTCAAGCCTGTCTCCGGTAGGTCTGCAACTAGCGTGGCCCAAACCGTACTGAACCAAACCCTCAGTCTAGCTTTTGGGCTGGCAACGCATCTGTTGTACACACCTGCTAAATTTTTTTTGGTGGCTTCAGCTATCCTATGCTTGAGAGTCAGCATCTCGAAGTTAGCATAGGAAATTTAAACGATGATGCCAAGGTACTTGGTGCTGCCCTCCCATTTGAATGCCCGAGAGGGATTGGGACCGAGCCGCCAGCGCTTGACCAGTTGTCGGCCGGTGCCTCTGCAGTGCCCGCTAGCTTGATGAGTATGGTACAGTATGGAGCACTTGGCCGGATTGACTCTGAGCTTCAAGCGTTGCACAGCGTCCAGCAAGTGCTGGATGGGCCGATATAAGCTGACTGTAAGACAGCTTGAGAGCGCACGGTCCTGTGGACCGTAAAGTCGTCGGCGTAGCCTGTCAAACAGTTCTGAACGGCCTCGATGCCAACCACTGCAATCAGGCTGTGGACGAGAATGCAAGCCTGCTTTATGCCCGTCGTGGTCTCTACGTTAACGGAGGTTCCCTGCGAGTGCAGCCTGTGTGTGGACGCCCGGTGAAGGCCATGAATCAGACTCAGCAAGGCGGGCTCGGCCCCCAGGTCTTGCAAGAGATCCAGCATCTGATGTCTGGACACCGTGTCAAAGGCCTGAGAAAGACCCAGGGCAAAGGTGATGCCGGCGGACAGTGTCCCCTCTAGCTGTTTGTCCGTGCGACTCGGCTTTGCTGTGCGACAGAGCACCCTGACTTCCCTGATGAGGTGATGGACGACTCTGCTCTGTGCGTCCGACAAGCCCCAGCCTGGCAAATATGCAAACTGAGGCAACGGCGCCATGTAGGGGAGGGTCAGAGGCTGCTCCACACACAACGTAACTAGGATCTACTCGGGACGTCTCACAAGCTACGCACGCATTTAATTTGCAAGACTGCCGATTGCCCATTAAAACTCTATTAGGCTCCGCAGGCTGCACTAACAGATTACCAAGCAACACTTTGCGCTTCGGGAGCGCAGCCACTTCTTTTCCCCGCCGACCTCATCGGGGCGGTAGCTCCAGGGACAACCAAAGCTAGCTGCTCCACTGTTGCGCTAGGGCACACACGCGATCCAAGATCGCCCTGGTCAGTGTCTGACGAGGTCTCCAAAGAGCGGTCGCCGCCGAAGTCGTAGCTGGAGGAAGGCACGCAGCCCCGCCCTGTGGAGAGGCCTCTGGCGACCATGGACAGCATGATGGCGGGAACTTTGAGTTCGGACGACAGTGAAACTGCTAGACGACGCTTGGATCAAGGACACGGGGTCCCTCGTTCGCTGCTAGGACCTGTGGTCCATCAGTGGTTCTATCGGGAGTCCCTGATGATATGGACGCTGCGGATGCCGCTGCTCAGGATCGTGCTGTGGCGGCTTTGGCTGTGGAGATTGCGTATGCGCCTCAGGGATCTTCAGTGCCTCAAATGCAGTTGTCAAGCGCACCTCAGGGATCTTCTGTGCCTTTGATGCAGTTGTCACCACCTCAGGGGTCTTCTGTGCTTTTGACGCAGTTGGCAGGCGCACCTCAGATCTTCTGAGATTCCCATGGAGTTGTCAAGTGCACCTCATCGATTTTCGGTGCCGCCGCAGCGCAGCTCTCAGGAATGCCTCAGGAGTTTGGCGCGGCACTGCTACCACTATGTGATGGACCTCAGGAAGTTAGCCAGTCGGGAACCTCGTACATGAGTGCAGGGCGCAAGGCTGAAGAGAGCGCGGCGGTGGAGACGGCTCAGGTGTCTTATAGAGTCAGCCTTCCCAGCTGAGCATCCAAGCGACGCAAATCCACCCAGCCCTGCGAACCAGCTTCACCGTTCCTCCCATTGGCGTTTCCATTCGCGCAAGAGGTCGTAACAGCTGTTTGTCTTCCCGAACTGCTAGTCTGAGCTTGCTCCACGCGGGCCATCCTGCCCACCAAAGTCATGACCAGGCTGGTCATGTAGGCCAAACCTCGGGCCACCTGCGACACGTCCTCCGACGTCCTTAAGGAATTGTGTGGCATCATGCGCAGCATCGCGGTCACGACGCTCCGGCCCGTGTCCCACACCGTCCAGGCCATCGGCACCGCGGTCGCTGGCTGTCAGAGGGAGGCGCAGACTGCTCAAGGGCACTGGCGCTTCCTTGACTTCCGTGCGCCGCACCCGATGACTCTCCAGCCACAGCAGTTCCGCCGCCGGAACACGTTCAGGAACGTGGACGCGCCAACGGCTTACAGTCCCACTTAGGAGACCTGCGTTGGGCTCATAACCCCAGTGCGGGGCAGCGCTCTTCGGAGACAGTGCTGGCTTCTGCCGATCGGCATGGCAAACTCCCGTGCAGCATGCTCACAGAATTGTATTGGTATTATTAGTATTATTAGTATTATTAGTATTATTAGCATTATTAGTATTATTAGTATTATTAGTATTATTCGTATTATTAGTATTATTAGTATTATCAGTATTATTCGTATTATTAATTAATATTATTAGTATTATTAGTATTACTAGTATTATTAATATTATTGGTATTATTAGTGTTATTTGTATTATTAATACTATTAGCATTATTCGTATTGTTAGTATTATTTGTGTTGTTATAGTATGATTAGTATAATGAGAATTATTAATATTATTAGTGTTATGAGTACTACTAGTATTATAGCATTATTAGTACGATTACTACTATTAATATTATTAGTATTATTAGTATTAATGCTATTGCTACTTTTATTACCATTATGGCTAGCATTACTATTGACAATATTCTTAGTCTTCTTACTAATATTTTGTTGTCAATACTTTTACTATAAGTAGTAGGGGCTCAGATTGCCTCCACCAGCGCAGGAACACCGACTGCCCCCAAGCACCCAAGATGGTGCGATCTTTAGCTTTCTGAGCCATAGCGCTGAAAGCTTCGTCACCTGCCTGGCATCGACGTGCGAGGCTCAGACGTTCTAAAGCTCGGCGGCACCTATATTGGCTGCCGACCTACCCCTTCAGCTCTTCAAAGCCTGCTCTGCCATCACGCTACCTCTCCGGGCTTGCGAACCCGGATTCGGCGGCTAATGGGCAAGAGCAACCAGAATAAGCACGGTGCCAGTCATCCGCCGCCATGGCGGAACGAAGATGGAAAGTACTGGTCCTGCTGGTCTGGTGTGGAGTCGTATCGATCTCCAAAGGCCAAAGCCAAAGCCAGTGCAGCCAAAGCAGCCTTCCCCTCCTACGAAGCTGCATATGGCGAGGCAAGCGGTATTACGGAGATAAGCTCCAAGCCTACAACACGTGGTGTTGGCCAGGGCAGGGGCGGACTCGTCAAGGATGTACAATGTGCACTCAACCAGGCACGCAAGGCGGAGCAACGAACCCATTGCCTTCGCGAAGAGCTCACCAGAACAGAGCAAAGCTGGAGGGCATACCTCCTTCAGATGCAACAGTCTTATGTGAAGGAGAAATCACGATTTCTTTCAGCCAAAGCGAGACTGGGAGAAGAGATACAGGAGGCGTCTCTCCAGCAGGAGGAGGCATATACCAACATTAATGTGTGTCGGTCGGCACCCCAGCTTCCGGGGCTAGCCGCTGGACCTTCAGCAGCCGATCCGGAGGGGATCCCGACACTCCCGGATCACTTCGAGGACACCATGACGACGAGGAGCTTGGGGAGGAGCTTTCCCGAGTCCTTCCAGGATCTGTCGAGCCTCCGGAGATCTACCGGTGCCTGTGCTATGACCCCGCCAGCTCGGGAGCGCTCTTCGACTGCTACTCCTGCAAGAGCTGTTTCCATGGATCCGTATCAGCAAGCTGCTGGTCTGGCTCACTTTGGGCACCAAGATGGAGTTTGGAGACGCTACATGATTCTCACGTCTCTGAAGGAGCTGCTCAGATATGCGTAGTCAGTGCAGGGGCAGCGACACGCCGGATTTAACCGAACCTGGATACCAACGCGCCGGTTGAGCTATTGCGTGAGGACGATCCCACCCCGATGGCGGACGACCCTCCGCAGCAGATCCAGGCAATGTTTATCCTCCTCACTCCAGACTACTCGCCAGACATGGTCATCGTGAACTTGCCCGCACGGTCCACTGTCCATGGAGCCATCCAAGAATTGAATTAGATGATGTGCGTCATGCAGACCGCCGCAGGCGGTTCAGGTGGATCATTCCCGCGCAACCACAACCCACGGAGGAATTCGCAGTGCTCCTTGCGTTCGAATTTTACGTGGCTATATTCGACTTGCGGGCAATCGACGGCACGATTTTTGCGGCACGGGTACCACCCAGGGCTTCCGGGAAGAGGTTCTGGAGGCTGCCGGGCTGCACCGTGACATTGTCGCAAATGTGTATGTGCATGTTGATGTTGCAGCACTTATGCCCCATCAAGTTGTTGGTAATTACGCCACCTGAGTTCGAGATTCAAGTTGGGCGGCCCTTGGAGGCCATGCTGCGTAGCCCGGCGTTCTGGGACGCTACTGCACCTGTGCCTTGCAGGTCTGAGCCCGCGTTCCTATTGCTCTCTGACGCTGGGAGTACTCGATTCCCCCTTGAGGGCGCGAGGAGGCCGCAAATTCGTGAAGACATCGCCCAGGTGCTTGCATACGAGCCGGCCCTTTTAACCCTTCGAGGTGCCCTGCCAAAGCCAGAAGACCACAGTCTTAGGGGCTGGCATTGCAGTGGTCACACAACGGATCCCTAGACCCACTGGTAGACCTGGTGGGCCTAGAGTCGTTGTTTACGACCTCCGGGCCATCCTTGGTGGTTTTATCTGGGATCTTGTTCATTCCGAGTTTGTTTCCACTCGAGCCACCTGTGAGCGTTTCGGGGCCGGTTGTCCGGAGGGATACCATGTTGTGGTTGTTGGAGGCCGCCAGGCTGCGGCTGACAATGATGTCCTCATTTGGGTCACCGATGCACAAAAGGTTGGTGGTAGCATTTGAGCCTGATGACATACCATAGTCCACCGCAGCAGCTCTTCGGACCCTGACACGGACAGATCAGGCCGATTCGGATATAATTCTGATGACTCCGATAGCCTCCGCATGTGCGTCGCTCTAGAAGCCGCTCGCCACGTGGGCGTGCTGTGCATAGGGGTGCTGCTGGCGCCGCAGAGCCGCTCGATGTGGGGAGTGTGGTGCATCTGGTGATCCGGATGGTCTGGCGCCCCTGCCTTCGTACGGTGGAAAACTGCGTTGCTATCGTTGTGGCCACAGCTACCACGACGCCTTGATGCCTTCTCGCCCCTTCCTTCAGGCTACCAGCAGAGGCACACAGGCAGGGCGGATAGTGCGTCATAAGCTTTTTGATGAGCCGCAAGGCTGCTTAGCTCCTGCTGCCTTGCGTTATCTGGCCCCCAGGCTTGGTCGTCCCTGGAGGAAAAAGTCCCCGAGTTCGGCCCTAATTCTTTCTGACAGTAGTAGCCCAGAGGAAGATAGTGATGACCATGAGGAGCAGGTACAGGCTGTTTCCTTCCTTATCCTAACTCCGGGCTATATGCCTGAGCACGTTACCACCATGCTCCGCATACCGAGCACCCTACCCGAAGCCTTTGCCGCGGCGCAAGCAGCGAGGAGGCCAGGCGAGGCGAGAAGGTTTCCTTTACTTGTTCCCGGCAGGCCACAGACGTGCTCCGGCGTGGGTCTGTTAATTGCGGCACCCTCTTGGGTATCTGACAGCCAAAGTAATAAACGCCTGGTTGGTTTCGATACATCTGACCTCGACGGTCGGGTATTCGCAGCCGTGGTCCCAGCGTATCTCACGCACCATCAACTTCTTGTCGCTGCCAATTTGCCGCCCAACCTCGACGTC